GCCTTTACCACCATGGACGTCCCTAACTGCAGGGATGCCACAGATAGCACACACATCCCCATCTTGGCCCTTGAACACCATTTGGCTACGTCTACACTGGCCCCTTTTCCGGAAGGGGCATGTTAATTTCAGCTATCGTAATAGGGAAATCCGCGGGGGATTTAAATATCCCCCGCGGCATTTAAATAAAAATGTCCGCCGCTTTTTTCCGGCTTTTCTAAAAGCCGGAAAAAAGCGGCGGACATTTTTATTTAAATGCCGCGGGGGATATTTAAATCCCCCGCGGATTTCCCTATTACGATAGCTGAAATTAACATGCCCCTTCCGGAAAAGGGGCCAGTGTAGACGTAGCCTAGTAGTGTAGACATACCCTAACAGTTAAATACCAGCTATACAACAGTCCATTTGTCTGCTATGTATGTGTGTCACTGTCCTACTACTAGACAGAATCTGAAATCCAAACATATGTGCACATTTTACAGAGTAAATCCTTCTGGTCTTATACAAGACCAGATTGCCGCTAATTCAGATGAATACAAGACTTATTTTTGTTGCCAAAGTCTTTTCTGTCTGGTAAACCACTTCCCAGCTCCTAAGTGCATGAGATTGCCAGTCACTGACTGCAGCGTTAGGTAAAAAGTATTTCATATTATTCACAGGGTCTTCCCCACTTCTCATTTTAGACATTTTGTTTTGAGTGCAAACCCCTTCCAGGGTATGCCTCTAATAGGGGCCCACCCCAGATTGACAGAGTTGCAGGAACCTGCACTTGACCAAACCAGGGAACCTGTGGGAGGTGAGTGCTGACCCTGTTATAGCCCTAATCAGCAGCCCTCAGAAAAAATATTAAGAATTAACGGAGATAATTTTTAATAACCTTAACCAAACAACAGTCAAACTGTTTCTAATAAAATCTTTACAGTGTTACCTTTGGTTTACAATTTAGTCATTTGAGTTTTAGGCCTAATCCTGCAGTAAATTATGCACTATGCACTCTACACCCTGATGGAGCTTGTGGCAGGATCGGAACCCTAGATTAAAAATGTAAAAGCTCCACAGGCCCCAATAAAGCAGCCCCTGTTTGTGGTGGGCCCGCTGGCTGTCCCTTCTTTCCTTGCAGGTTACATGCTGGCTCACCTGGTGCAAGCCTGGTGGGGGCTGCCAAACCTACTTTCAGGGAGCCTTTGCTGTGGGCTCTGCAGTATAAAGCTTTTTTAAGCATTATACTGCAGAGTCCACAGCACATGTAGTCATGATTTTTAGTCTCTACACAGTTACACTTAATACATTTTTACATCTCTACCCTACATCCCACAATATTATAAGAGCCTTGTGAGATTGTGTTTATTTCTCCTACACTTACCCAGTGGGAGTTTGCTGGCTGCATCTGGTCCCTTTGTTTTCTTCTTCTTTTTCCCCACTCTAGTTGGAACTGGGGGTTCATATTTCTTCTTCTTATCCTTTTAAGCAAAAAAAGACAAGCACCCTCCCAAATCAGAGCTGCTATTACAAGAACAAGCCACAGAAATCCACCACAGTGCCAAACTTAAAAAGAACTAAAGAGGGGGGGGGGGGGGGGGGGGGTGGGAGGGAAGGGAAGAGCCAGGCCCTTTCACCTTCCCTTATGATGTATAACATAGAGGGAGGCTTTAAATAGCATTTTTCCTGCTTACTTCTGATGAAGGACTTTGCTAATTTTTTGGAGAACTAGAAATCTGATGTCATGGGAGGTTAAACTGTAAATCTTCTAGGTCCCTACAAGTGAGGCTTAAGAGAGAGAGAGAGAGGAGGTGAACTCTCAAGCCTCATCTACATTAGAGACTCCACCACTGCTCTCCATACTGGTATGATAGTGTAAATTGTAGCCTGGGAAAGCATTCACACTAGCCATCCAATTTCATATAGCGCACTGCTCCTACAGTCAGAATAGATCACTCTGCTTTGTTGCATCAGCACAGCACTGCAGAGACTTATCTCAGTGTTATTTTATGTCATAAAGGAGCAGTCAGTCTTATACTTTGTTTACAGTTTAATCTACATCCAAATTTATTAAACTCAGCTGTCAATTTGTATGCTTATACATTTGCCTGCATAAACAGAATTCTAGCTCACAGGAACTATTTTCTCTTCCTAAGACACAAGAAAAAGAGCAACATTAGCTGGATTTTTAAAAATGAATATGCACCCATGAGCCCCAACATATGCACATAATTGCTGATTCCAAAATCTGCAGGCAGATACCTGATTTGCAAAGTCAATTTCTTTTTGATCTAAGGATGTTAAGGACTAGTCGACTATCCGATAAGCAAATGCTTACTGGACAGTCCAGTCGACTAGTCGATCCCCCGCCCCTTGCTGCTTCTATCAGACAGAGGCAGAAAAAAGGGTGGCATTTCTAAGGCATGTTCAAGGCATTTCTAAGTGGCAGTGCCGCACGGAGTCCCAAGCTGACACTGGCTCCGCGGGGCACTGGGCTCCATGTGTCGCTGCCGGTTTGAAATGCCCAAGCTGCTGAATGGGGGCCTAGGAGATTTAAGCAAAGGACAAATGTTAGGGGTTTTTTGTACAAGGAACAAAACATTAGTTTTAAAACCCACTAATGAACACATTGGAAGTAATCATGCAGTTCACCCTATGAAAAGAGGACAATTACATTTTTTATTAACATAAGAACAGCCGTACTGGGTCAGACCAAAGGTCCATCTAGCCCAGTATCCTGTCTGCCAACAATGGCAAGCACCAGGTGCCCCAGAGAGGGTGGACCGAAGACAATGATCAAGCGATTTGTCTCCTGCCATCCCTCTCCAGCCTCTGACAGACAGAGGCCAAGGACACCATTTTATCCCCTGGCTAATAGCCTTTTATGGACCTAACCTCCATGAAATTATCTAGCTTCTCTTTAAACTCAATTATAGTTCTAGCCTTCACAGCCTCCTCTGGCAAGGAGTTCCACAGGTTGACTACACGCTATGTGAAGAAGAACTTTCTTTTATTAGTTTTAAACCTAGTATTACTTACCTTGTCATCCTTCTTGCCACCCCCAGGACCATGTCCACCACTCTGACTTTGACCCTAAAGGAATACAAAGATAACACCCAAATGAATGCAAGCACACTATTTGTAACAAGAACTCTACAAATCTTGAAAGATTTAGACTCTTGCCAAAAGAATATGTATTAGATACCTCTAAACAAACTGCTGGTAAATCCTAGAATAAATCAATCTTCTCAAGCAGGAGAGTTAATGAAGTAAATTGAAGATTGGACTGACCAAAGGGTAACGAAGATTACTTCAACAGCTATGTTTGGAACTCATACAGCATTCTGCTATCTTTGTGCATAGTGAACTAAGTATGCCAGGAATATGACAGTCCCCTATTTCTAAGGCCTGTAAACCACTGACTTGTCAATAATACAACTAATCACATAAAACTAGTGTACTAAAGATGTGTACTTTTGTAAAACTCAGCATAAATCACCAGTTTCCACAAAAGCACAAGGAGGGGGTGAGGGGGGGGATTACTCAAGCCTCAATGCTGAAGTGGGGAATCCAGCACCCATTGCTCATAGTGACTGGAAGCTTCCTGGGTCTGGTGCTGTCCACAGCATCAGGGAGCTGCCAGGGTTGCCCCCTGACAGCTCCAAATCACCATCCCATGACTGGAAAACATCACAGAGATCTCTGAAAGTCACAGAATTTATGACATTATCTTACCCTTCACAGACACAAAATATTTATTAAACAAACTATGTTAAGTCCACAGGTTTTTACAGGACACTTCATGTTTTTAGTGAGTCAGACTATAAAATGGGTTAGCTTTTGCTTATAATTTAAGGCAACAAAACTATAAAGCTATGTATTTTTAATTGTACATTGTATGCTTAATACACTGTTGTCAGCTCTTGGGGTTTTAGGTGATTTTCTTAAAGCACCAGCTACTAGAGTCATATGACTCAACTAGAGTCATCTCAGCTGCCATTTACAAAAAAATAGGTTTCAAGACCTCACGATCGTGAACAAAAATCTGAAAATGTGACTCAAGTGTTGACTTTAGGCTCCAACACTATGAAGCATATACAAAACTGCAATAAATTTAATTTAAAATTCTTGAGCTTTTTAAAGCACTTGTGATTTTTGAACACTTTGCCTTGGCAATACCCTCCACACCAGTGGTCCCCAACATGGTGTCTGTGAGCACCATGGCTCCTACTGGGGCATTTATGTGCGCCTTCCTAGTGACCAGGGCCGACCTGAGCCATTCTTGCGCCCCGGGCACCCAGCGCATGCGTGGCGCCCACCCCGGGTGCGTGGCACATGTGCGGTGCCACCCCCAAGCGCCTGGCAGCCCCAAAAGGTTGGAGAACACTGCTCCACGGTGTCATTCAATATGTCATAAGCAGATCTCAAAGTGCCGTGTCAGAATTAGCTATTTTTAGTATTTAAACAGATTAATAAACGAACTGGGGGGGTGTGCAAAAGGTGACATGACCTAGCACCAGCTGAGTTTGTTTTTTTCTCCATTTTGCTAAATGCCAGGCCGGCAGACAGGCGAATAAGAAGGGGGAATCTTTTCCGTCTCCTTATGGGGTCGCGGATACCTTAGGCAGGCAGCTTGTGGCCTTGCGATGGCAGGTTTGCCATTCCCACCCGCTCGGATTTCTCCCGCGCCTTCTAGCCGCGCAGGTCCGGCTGG